CGCTAGTAGTAACAAGTGCCTTACTAGTAGTAACAAGAAGCTAGTAGAAACAGGTGCATCGCTACTAGTAACAAGTGCCTTACTACTAGTAACAAGAAGCTAGTAGAAACAAGTGCATCGCTACTAGTAACAAGTGCCTTACTAGTAGTAACAAAAAGCTAGTAGAAACAAGTGCATCGCTAGTAGTAACAGGTGCATCGCTACTAGTAACAAGTGCCTTACTACTAGTAACAAGAAGCTAGTAGAAACAAGTGCATCGCTACTAGTAACAAGTGCCTTACTACTAGTAACAAGAAACTATTAGAATGCATCGAGATCAATCAAAGCACGACCGGGACACCGGAGCATCCATCAACTGGCCGGTGGACCTGTGTGCACCCGACCACCTTCTACAACGGAGGGCACCTGTAGCATGTTGGATGATATTTGGGAACTAAATGTACTAAAGGCAATTTATATAAAAAGGGTGTTGAATTGTTGAGTTTCTTGGAAGAAAATGAGCTCCATGGAATTGACCGCTTAGAAATCCATGTCGTGATCATGTTCACTTCTTTGATTTAGGATATTTAGGGGCCGGTGGAATCAAACATGACTCTAGTTGAGAGGCTGCAGGAAGCCAAGATGCAAATATATGCCAGGTGTCCCATCCAGCAGATGTGGAGTTTCTCACTCAGGGAATTGCCCGAAAACTGGGAAGTGCAGGGTCATGAGGGTGTTCTTGAACGGCAATGACAGCAATCGTCAAATACATTTTTGATTTGCGTTTATTGCCAAGGATGGCCGTGGTGAATCAGGCTTGCATGGCACAGTGCCCAGCCCACAATCGAAGACTCAAGGAGCATAGAACCATACAGGTCCATACAACTATATATATAAAACACTCTAACTCTAACGGTTTGATGTACTACAACTCCAACAAGCATGCCAATGGAGTCGGTGGATTTGCAAATGACGAGTTTGTTGTTGCTGTTGATGATCTCCCGAACAGTTTGCACATCGCCGCGGGTCTTGTTTTACCGTAGCCCTCCGAAGCTTTGCGGATTTGGAGGACAATGCCAAGGAGCTTCTGGAGCAACTTGCCTCAACTTGCCTTCTGGAGCTTTGGAGAGATCCGCTTTTTGACCACATGCAACTTTATGCAACTTACCTGCTAGATTTGCAGAACTGTTTGAGGAACTGTTTGCGGAAATGTCCAAGCTCGGGCTTTCGGGCAACCATGACCTTCGAACAGTGTAAGGCACAATGCGAGCGAGACGTGGCTGCAACGAAGTGGTCCTAATTATTGTTGCCACATGATAGTCCGGTGTAGATATGTAGAGTGACATGATCAAACATGTTGAAACCGCATCTGCATAGATTAATATATATATATACTGTAACAAATGTGGAACTGTTTCAGTTAGAACCTCCTCATGTGACGTTGCTTTGCACTGCATGGGATGAGGAGCTCACCCACTGTCAGGCGCAGCGTCTCACCGCTCTCTAAGTTTATCCGCTGTCATTTCTGAGATTGACAAAGCATTGGGGAGCTGTGTTTTCTCGAGCAGTTGATGATGTGATGTGTTTGTGTTTGTCATTGTGTGTCGCAGACGGGATGGCATCAATCCCCGCATCCGGTCCACCTATGGAAGGACTCCCTGTAGTGAGTTTGCAAAGTTCAAGAGCAAAAGTCAAGGTCACCTCGGTCCAATTCATGCGACTTGCTCCACGGCAGGATGCGAGAAGGACTGTTTTGACCGAATCACTGGGAATTTCTGGAAAGTACGGCAGCTTCACTGGATTCAATAAAAAGGAGTCCTGTGCGCTGCAGATTCAGTGCAACTGCTATGGTGATAACATGTGATGACTTACTTTAATGTATGCATCATAGGCCTGTAGATTTGTTTGCAGAAGTATTGTGTACGACTGTAGAACTATGGTGGGCATCCATGGACATCCAAGGTATCAACGATGTGCAGGCAAATGTGCCATCAACACGGCTGCCGATGAGGCCGTGTGTTTGTTTAGACGAAGAGTTCATGAGTTCAGCTTAAGGAAATCCCACAACCATGAGGTGGTTTTCCAGACGAAGCACAACATCTCAATGCCTGAGATGAAAGACTTGGAAACTCAGGCACTTTCTTGGCTGCTTGTGTGCCTGTTTAAAGGTTCGGAGGGAGGCGTGTTGACTTCTTGCCGTAGGTGGTGAGCGTGCTCAAAAAGAGGACACTGGAAGAGCAATCCCTTGGTTTTGCACAACCGCGAGTCTTCAGTTTCATTGACAACTTATATAACATTATATAACTACTATATACATACATCATATATTTGGTGCATCAACGCAGGCCACCCGGCCAGGATCATTTTTCAGAAGCGACCTGACGATCATCCTTTCAGTTTCTTGATATTTCAGCTGCAACCTCGGTTATCCAGCGTGAGTCAAGTTTGCTTGCCATTGCACAGCCATAACAGTTAGGTGTCGCAAGAAAGCGGAAGATGCCTTGGGGAAAGCCTTGGGCATTCCAGCAAAGCATTCGAAGCCAGCAGTGGTCATCAGGCAGAGTGCATCACAAGAACCCAGTCAATTATTGAAGAAACTTGTGAGCTGCAGACATGTGCTCGTTTCAGGAGGGAGGAGAGAGCGAGAGAGAGGGAGACAGTGAGAGTGGGGGGGCAAGATGTATCACGGTTGAGCACTTGCAGCTTGCAACGTTGAGGCCGTTCAAACCCGGAGTCCATCATGTCGGGGTGCAGGCAACTCTTGGATGCGAGAAAAAGAAGCACTCACGCATTTGTGCAAATTGTAGCTAGTTTCTCAGAAGCAGCAGGTTTGAGAGTTCTTCGTGTCCATGCTTCGCACGAAATAGTTCTGTTTGAAGGCCCTGAATCAAGATCCCGGGAATGATTTGGAAGCAGTGGTTGACGTGCAGGACCCTTGCTCACTAAAGTCTGAACACGGAATACTTGCCCTACAGATCAAAACTGCTGGTGAACTTGCAGGGCACCAATGCATGGTTCTGGCAGGCCCTGTCCAACGAGAATATGGATAAGCTCGCTGATGATTCAACACTCAAAAGCTTCGACAAGGTGTTTGCCAAGTCAAATTGGAAGGATGAGTTGTAAGATTCAGACGTTCTATAATTCAAACATAACTCAAGTATATTCACATTGAAGAATGTGCTTGTGGATGGGCTTCATTGCTACATGTGTATTGTACAAATATATATATATATATATGTGTGCGGGCGCGTGTGTGCAGCAGACACGCGTTTGATGAGTTGCCCAAGCTGCCGATGCAAGCGCGTGATTGGTGCTTTGTGCGAAAAGATGTTTGAGGCTTTCGATGATGCTATCTCATCGGACACCGCCATGCATGGTCTTCTGAAGATTTTCCCTGCAGAATCTTGATCATTACTCGTGCTTCTGAGACCAAGAGCTAGCGGAATAATTTGACCGATCAGGATTACAGTAGTGGCCGAGCAGCTGTAGGCTTGAAATTCAAGACGACGTATGACGAAGTGTTGATAACTGTTCAAGTCAGTTTAGCTACTGACAACTAGCGCTCTAATACATTCTAATACTATGATGATTATATATATATATATATATACTAGCATATTGACCGTTTACCTCAGGAAGCTGCAGAAGTCACTTCAGCGTCAGTGTCTGGAAACTTTGTGTCATTGGGCCAGTCGACTGCATTAGTCAGCGCGTTTTGCAGCCAACGTCCACTGCCAAGAACAATTGTGAACAAACACTTCAGCAATTATGGCCTCATTCGTTCCACACCAGAACCTTAACCAAGGTTGGCACACTGTTTGCCGAAGAGATAAGGCCAAGAGCATTTCCAGCAGTGACGACAGAATGTAAAGTGGCTTCATGACACTGAGCTCATGCAAGGCTCTCCCTAAGAAGTTCAGCAACCAAAGCTCTACTTGATCTACTTGCACTATGTTTCCGAAACATATTCTATTTGGCTTGTGTTGTTGTCACTATTCTCAGGCTCTTGTATATATATATATATATGTTTCATGGGTCCTGGTGAGCTTGTTTGAAGACTGAGGGCAAGTAGTTGTGTGAAGAATTACGATCAGGCAGATCACACCATGAACGGCTTCGGCACTACGCGTCTTGCCAAAACATGTTTTGCACAATCTCTTCCACAGGCTCCACATTCTGGGCAGCTTTGCGAACCTTTGCACAGCTGCTGCACATTGCTTTCCACAGACAGTGTGCTTCAATGTTTTTCAAGCAAGGCAAGTTGTCCATCACGAAACGCTCAACTCGTGTTCTCAGCCTGGCCCTTGGCCTTGCAGTCACATTCGGCTCTCCATTGCAACGCAAGACGTCAGAAGAAAGCGCTTTTGCCGTCTTGCAGCCAATTGTGGCTGGCTACCGGCAGCGTGTTTGGCAACATCGTATCATTTCAAAGTGGACGCGACACACAAATCGAATGCTGTGACCGCGAGGGAGTGGTGACCGAATTCCAGAGCCGCAGGCCGCTTTCGGCTTTCAAGGCCAAGAAAACCCACTTGGCCAGATTTAGGAGTTGCTTTGTTTTCCATTCCAAGTTGCTTTACTATATAGTTGTATATACTTGTTCCGTGATCTAGGGATCTAATCTCGGCAAAGACTTCGTATAATCAACACCAATTCCATGCAATGGATGTGATCGCTAATAATCATTTGTCAACATGCCAGGTATCATATAGGCATGCATAGAAAAGCTAATGCAGTTTGATTTGTGCTTCATCTACTTACATATATACGTATGAGCAATATATGCATTTGCTTGTGGCGATGCGATGCTATGTGTTACTGGCAGCTTTGCTACTCTCATCGCCGGCAGCCTAGCCACAGCGTCATAAGTTGGAAGACCTAGTAGCGTCCTTGCTCCTACCATTTTAAGTACATGACTCCAAGAAGTACTGTACATTGACTCCAAGGTGCCATGGCGAGCTAGACTGCGATGAGTTGGAAAGAGTGGAAGAGTCAGAATCCTGGACATCATGTGACATCATGAAGCCACTTAACTACACTCAGACGTACCACAAGCATTCTCAGGTCAGAGGCAGATGCATTGAGAGTGCAGCTGCTGCAGCAAAAGGTGAGGCGGCAACATGAGACCTTAAATCAGGCAGGGAAATGATGGGTGGCAAAGAATATCAAAGAATTATATACTTATATAAAGAGGATGGAGCGCGAGAGAGAGAGAGAGAGGAGAGATACAGAGAAGGGGGGTGAAGTTCGCAGCTTCCCTGAAAAGTTCTAGGTACCCTCGTCAGAGCGCTTCAGCTTGCCGATGGCACGTGCATTTGCTGCCTTAAGTCAAGCCGCATTTTGCTTCTTGGTCAGTCATTGTTGTTTGTTTGCGGCCGGCGACAGAGATGCTGAAATTGCATGTTCGGATCCCATTTTGCAGCAACGGTCTGCGGCCTGCCATGCTTTCGAGGTGGTGCAGACGAGACGTTGAGGAACTGGACTTGTAGCGCATGCCATTCCGTGGGGTTTACCCTCTCAGCTGGGACAACCCGGCTGGTCCGCCAGGCTCGAACACGGGTAAGATGCATTGAAGTGGTGCGACTAACCGCTGCTGGCAGATGTGTTGGGTATGGTTGGAGAGAGAACTGCATCACACTGTATGATGATGCATGCAATTGGTGTTCCGCAGAAGCTCATCACTTTCCCTCACGCGAATCCAGTTCGGGTATGTTGCGGTACATTCCTGGCCCTTCATTATCCTTCTTTAGACCCTGTATGGAGGCCGAACTTGGAGAAGCTGACTCTACCTTCATTTTTGCTGCGCGGATGAAATGGCTTGAGGGCGAGCACAGTCAACACGCTTGGCCACCTGCTCGGCCTAGAGAGTCATTGAAGAACCCCAAAGAAGACACGTGGCTGCATAGAAGTGAATGGGAATGATCCGACATTCAAGTACATGCAAATGTGATCAAATGTGTCTTTACTGCTGGGATATCACAGCAGAACCCACTTAATTACTTGAATGGGGGTGCAATGTCTCGATGTTAAACAATTGACAACATGCAAGTTCATGAGTTTTTGGTATTGACTTTAAACACATGCATGCGAGAGTTTATTATGCCCAAGGATTGCTACGGACACTGTGCCAAAAGAGGAGGCTTCTGTGCTTGGTGCGGTGTGGGGAACGCATGCTGCCGCCAGGGTGAGGCACGAGATTCATTGTGCTTACTGTTTCTCCTGAAAGGCTAAGGCGGTTGGCACGTGACACTGTTGTACACCGGACAACTTGGCACATGTTTAGCCACAAGAACAGAGAACTGACGACTGGTTTGGAAGTGATCACCTTTTTTTGGAATGTATTGTCCGCAAAGCGTATGGGTATTGGCTGTATAGGATTACCACATTCATATGTGACATGTGTGTATATATACAATACGTACATAAACGACACGCCGGGCTCGTTTCCGCACATGCGGTTGTGAGCGGTTTGTTTCCACAGCCGTGCTTCTTTCAAGCTGATTAATGCGCGTGGGCCACCCAGCTTTCGATCCTTCCAATTGTTAGTAGCGTCCTTGCTCCTAGTAGTAAGGCCAGGAGCCCCTAGGCCCTACGTAGTAGCGTCCTTGCTCCTAGGCGCTGTTCCGCAATGCGGTTCATTTTAAAGAGGACCCGCGACAATGCGATTTCAAGCGCGGCTTTTCTCCTCAGGCATTTGTGATCATGCGAGGCTTTTGCTCAAGCTTTCGCCAAGAATGTTTTTCCACATGTTGGGGTTGATTTCTAAGCAAAAGGGATTTGCCACGAAGAAGTCCCCCCAAAACGACACCTCAAGCCAGACAAACGTAACAAAAGGAATCAACGACGAACACAAACAAACCTCGAAAGGTGTCCCCGTCATGTCCCCCAAGCCAAAATTTAAAGGCATGTGAAAATCAATCGAAATCATGCTGTGTGCAAAATTCTGGACAACTTGCTCCATGTCAATCAAAACTTATCAGATAGCAGCAGCACAATTGAAGACAAGAACGTCACTGTCCCCAGGCCCCCCACCCCCACAACGAAAGCAAGCAGCAAAAGCGAGCGCGGGCAGTATACAAAACTCAGACAAAACTATACAAAACTTTTGCTGCATCAGTGCCTGTAAAGTCGCCCAAAGAGAGCTGATGTGCCAACTATCTACATTCAACAGGAACAGGCACAAACACGTAAACAATCGTCAAACTGCAGGCATGTTCAAAGACCCCTTCAGCACTGAAGCTTTTTGAGAGGAGACGACTGTGAATCATGTAAGGGCCTAGTAGGGCTCTCAGCAGTTTTAGCGGCAACGTCCATGAAGGCTAGTGATCCTGCTGAGTGCTTCAACGCCACGTTTAGCGGTGTTGAGCATCATGAGGCTGAGCTGCAAGTTAAGCTTCCTTCTCACCAAGTCGGGAAGTTGAACATGACGCGGCTTTTGAACGGGACAGCTTTGCAAGACAAAAGGGAAAGCTGGTCGTTTGGTTTACTTCGTCGTTGATGTCAAGCACCCAGGAGTGCGTTGAAGTCCCATCGCCAGCACCACGGCTGAGAGCGACAGTTGGCAAGAATTAGCCAGTCCTTTTTCCATGGACACGAAGGGATGCAGCAATTATGCAGGCAAGACACATCCCGGTGCAGCATGAACATGAAGACTGCTGGATCTACTGCGGGAAGGCTGACCCGCAAATGACGAGTGCAGGTGCTGCATGCAGCAAAGTTAAATTCTTCTTTGGCAGGCTGGTGGCTTTTGCGATTGGTGTGGCGCCGGGAATGCGTGCTGCAAGCCGCTTGTCTGGTTAGGCCAATGTGACCCGTCAAATGTATTTTTGCACTTGCCAGGCGCTGAACTTACTCAGGTTTATGTGTGGTTTGTATGTGTTGGCCATGCCTGCATGGTCAGGAGACATGAGAGAATATTTTTGCTGACTTGGTTCATCAGTGTATCTCAGTGTGTCTAAACTGTGGCCCGTAGAATTCCAGTGCCCCAACATCCGTCATGTGCTGTTCAGGGCCGGCTATGAGTTTGACCCCATCGAATGTCGTGGTGCCAAGAATGCCGCGGTCTTAGACAAACTTCATTAGCAGCTGTTTACCAGGGTTTGTGTCAGTGCATTTGAGCAGACTGCTACAGCTTTCAATAGCTTGGCCAAGAGCATTAGTGGATGCGGAGCACAATCTGGAGCACCACATGTAGCATGTGTTGCAAAGCTGAGGCGAGTGACCAGCACCATGTTTGCACAGCGTTGTCACCCACAGTGCCAACACCAACTTCCAATGATTTTGGTTGTGTGCTTGCAATTCGTGGCTTTTTGGCATGCATTGTCACTAACTAACACTTCTGAAACCCAGCCGAACCGAAGACAGAATCTGAGCGGTTCTATCTACTTGCTTCCGTGCACTGTACTGCAAAATCTGTATTTGAGTCTTCCCGCATGTGGGTTTTACTGCTTGACGAATCCTTCCTCGTCTCAGTGAAGTCACATGAGAACCCATTGGGGCTGTTGCTAACGAAGATAAACGAAGAGATAAATTCGACGTTTGAACAGCTGCAACTCAAGGTTCCAAAACGTTCACGAATGCACTGCACGACGCCTTCTTCTGGAGTGACGACTTGCCACATGAGGCGGAATTTGCTGCAATGTTGTTCAGAAAATCTCTCAAGTAGAACAGCATAGAAGAAACGCAGAACGGGTGGAAACAAGAAACATTGATTCCTGGATTCAGATTCCATCTTTTTCCAGGACTGTGAGGGTTGCCAAGTCTTTGATGGCTTTTGGCGAGTATGGACTGGCATTGAGAGCAAAGTGGAGCTACTTGCCCGGCAGACGATCAATGTATGGCTGCGACATGCTGTAGCCTTGTGCTGTTGGATTGAGACAGTGGCATTGCAGTAAGTGTTGTTTCTTGCCACACGTGAATGTTTGCAAGGCGTGTTCTCGTCGACAATGGCTGCATTCCAGGCAATGCCTTGAGTGAGGGCTTGGCATTGTGTTCAGACAATTTGTATCAATTTGTTCAACAATTGCAGAGCCGAAGTCAGTGGGTTTTGTCCAGGCACCAGTCAGGGTACTATTGTACTCACTGGGCATTCTTTGGGCGCAGCAGTGGCCACCCTTGCTATGTACATGCTGTGCCGTGGCGAAGAAGGGAAGGGTCCATGGTACCGGCCAGCTGATGAACTCCGACAAGCACAGGTTCATCTTGAACCTAAACAAGTGAAGCAATATTATATCATATGCGGTATCGTTGCCGAGCCATGCCGAGCCACACACATGACAACCAACGACACAAACCAGATCAACCTCCCAAGCTGTCTCAGCCCCACTTCAAGTACTTTCGGTGCACGTTGCCAGACTGGAGTGAAGTTGCAGTTTCAAGTTGGGAGTTGGGAGCTAGGGAAGAAGATACCTTTTGCATCGTTCTACTATGTTCTACTATTACTATGTTCTACTAGTATGGGTGCTTTTACCACCTATGCCCGCCCTCAACAGCATATTAGTGTCAGGCAACTTCGTGGCTACAGCGTCGGCCTCTCCTACAACTTTGCTTCCCCACGGGTTGGAAATGATGCATATCATGATGCATTTGCAACTTGTGCAAGCACCCGAACCAGAATGTTTGGAGCAGTTCGTCTGTGAGTGAGAGACAAACTTCCAACTATAGTCATGTATATAGGTGTAATTGGGATGTTTGCTGCGCATGGTGTCTTCTGTGTGTGCCTCGAAAAAACGATAGGGGAGTCTACCCCTAAGACTTGCATTGCAGCCAGTGAGAAGTCCAGTGAGATGGGAAGATCCGTAGAGAGTTGTCAGAGCTTGGCATGAATCTGAGAGCCGCTTTGGCCACATGGAGGATCCACTCAGCTTGACCTTGATCATGGGAAGAGCTTGGCAAAGAGTTCGGAGCCGTTTTGCCTCCATGTATGGGCGATTTCATCGATACCCATGCTTTCTCAGCCAAATGACAAGATCCCCACACGTATACTTGGGAATAGCAAACCAGCATTGTCATTCTGGAAAGAGAACAGGAACACAAGCACCTTGTTGGCACCCTGCGGGCTTTATATAGGTTTCCTGCTTAGGATGCCCAAAGATGTGGAAAGGCCCAAACCCTGAAAAAAGAGAGGTGACATCATTTGACATCCCAATTTGATCCAATGCTCAATGCATACACTGCGAACAAACAGTTTTTCTGACCCAATTGCGGCCCAGCATTTCCACAGAGCATGCGGGTCATTTCCTTCCAAGTGGTTTCTGATGTGCCCGACTTCGAGGCAAAGATGTTCAACCGGACTGTGCCTTTGTATCGGATTACACGTGGCCGTGATCCGGTGGTGCACGTTCCGCCGCTGCCAATCTACCATCATGTGGGTTCTGAAGCCTACTTCTCAGGTAAATCGCAGAAACTTGGCTTATCAGTTGCACTCATCCCCATTTTGGTATCAAGGGTATGCCATTCCCTTTTCTTCTTTTTTTTTTGTGTGCAGATTAGGGCACAACCTATGGAAACATCATGTTACGTTTGATCATCCTTTGCGTTACTTGAGTGCCCCTTTTTGGTCCAAGGGAGGACGTGGTGGTTTGCTTGGATGCAGAGGATGCCAAGTGTCCGCCACCCAGACATTCAGCTGGTCATTTGCAGCCGCTTAAAGTGCGGCTCATTTATCTATCTATCTACCTACCTATCTATCGATCTATCTATCTATCTACCTATCGATCTATTTATATATTTACCTATGATTCTATCTACCTACCTACCTACCTACCTA